TGTTCAGAAATATCTGTTTCTAAATGCTGTGATTGGCTAAGAAATGGATTTGGGGCATTCGACCATTAAAATGCGTTTACCTTCTTAGCGATGTTTCCGCTGTACTCAGAATTTTACTTCTGGCGATATTGTCGCTCTGGAGTCTTCTTTATAATAATCTGAGACTTTCGCTTGCGTTACTGTGTCGCCTCGTGCTCCGTTTTGGATTAATACACATTCAATTCGTTATCGTTTGACTTGTTCCACCATTTATGGCGTTTGGTAAGATCAATAATCTATGTGGGTGTTTTTGGAGTACTTTGGAGTACAAGCATTATATAAATTTCGTGTAGTATGCTTTTGGAGTAACTTTTCACTTCGCATTATGTACCTGATACCCAGACCTTTCTTTGGACCTTTCTTTGAACTTCGTTATTTCTGTTTTATAGGGAAATAAAATGAAAGTGAATAATTCAGTGTATTTAAAACATAGTGTAGAGCACAGTGTCAAGTGCCATCAATCAAATAAAGACAAGTCTCCATAAGAGAATTACCATGATCTTGTACGGTTTTTCATGATTGAATAAATCTACTGAATATATGAAGTACATTGGTGTTTATCATACATTTACATTTTGGAGCCGAGGCATCTATTAATAAATTGTTTAAGCAAAAAATTGTGAATTAATAAATAATCACTCGCATATTATAGTCGGGAGATTTTGTTGCACTCAATGTTAAACATATCTCCTGACTACAATATGCGGCTTATATAATATGAGGCTACGTCGGTATACAGATACCGACTGAGTTCCTTGTCTTACTTTTTCTCGCTTCATCGATCGTCAGCGCTATCAACACTGTGGGGACGTATGTATCGAAATACCGCAAGCATTTCGATATATACAAATTTGTTACTCTGACAATTTTGTTAAAACGCTTGCATCACTCGGAAATCGCACCTGGTATATACAATCTATGGAAAAAGACACATGGACCGGGACACAGAACTTGTGCACCAAGTTCTGTTAAGAAGTCTTTAACAATTTTAGAGAACATTGTGCTAATAGAAATAGGCATATTCGCGCCATGCCAGTGAAACGCATATTCCTGTTTTTTTGCCGTGCGGGCAGTCATGAGTAAAAAATATAACTTATTTAAAAGCTATCCGAATATGTATGAGTAAAAAAATGTCATCTTACAGGGAAGAGGCTCGAATCCGAGACCTCTAGCGTCACAATCCGACGCCCTACCTCTGTATCAAACCATCTAATTTTTTTTTCGGAACTTATATATCAACAGTTTACTCATGTACTCTATAGCTTACTGTTTTAGTTCATTTACAGGTTGAACATATTTTTTTTTGATAGTTCGAAAACAATGCATTCACTAGCAGACAAAGCCACACAAATTCCTGCATAAAAATGCCCTATATACAATATTTCCATAATTTTATGTGTAATCACGTGTGGTTTTCCAAGAATCGGAAGAGTTCAACTGCCGAAAAAACACATATTGAAATTGCAGACGAAATAAGCCTTAAAACTTTCTTTAAATGGTTATGTCTGAAATAGAGGAAAGCAATCTTGCTACTATCTATGTGAAGACTACCACCAAAAAATTGCTCTGCTGTAGATCTGGAAAACTCGTGTCGCAATGCATGCTGTACAAAGCGTCGAGCTAATGCGAAGTTCGTAAATTAATAATATAAATTAAATTAACGAGAAAAAAGAAAATTCTCCGACCAGGTCTCGAACCTCTAACCTTAAGGCTGCTGTTCACTTTGAAAAAGTTTCGGTAAAAATCACTTCCAAAAATTACATTGTAACGTAGAAATAGATGAAACTACTGCAACGGTAGCACCGTCTAATTATGAACATAGTAGCTGGGAAATTACCATCCCCTCCTCCCTCGGCTTGTGTTTATTGCGTTTGGTCAAGGTAAAACGACAGGATAGCTCAGTACATACGAAAACCAGCCATGGGCATATTCGTATCAAAGGAGACGGTAAGTGTATATTTTTTATTTTACTATTTTTGGTTAACATAAAAGTGTGTAAATTTATATGTGGTGGCACATGGAGAGTTCAACGCTTTTGTTCATGTTATCCAAAATAAAGACATAAATTGCATGACATTTTATTTTTAGAAACAGCAATCGCAAGAGGTGGTTGGCGAAAGGAAAGGAGGAGAAAAAAAGAATAAAGAAATTGAGGAAAAGGAATTAAATACGGAAAAGGAAGAGAATAATAAGAGTGAAAAATGGGAGAATGAAAAAAAGAGGAAAAGGTATTATATTAGAAATTTAGTACGAAATCATAAAATAATAAAAAATAATAAACAATGACATTGGACAGGGAATGATTCGAGAGAGAAGACGAAGAGGAAGAAAGGAGATGGGCGGACAGGCTGAGAAGAGGAAGAAAGAGGAGGGAGCGGGAAAAGGAAGAGCGATAGAAGGAAAGAATACGAATGGACAGGGAAACAAAGAAAGAAATTGAACGAAGAAACAGACAGAGAACGAATAGGCAGAGAAGACTGAGACAGCGGGAAAGAGAAAAGCGGCAGAAAGAGGGACAGTAAGTAATACGCGCATTTATGTAATATTTCTTTTATATTTTACTTCACGGAAACAATTTTTATTATGGCAACCATTCGCTTTTGTTTTCAGTAGAGGAAACATACAATACGTGTCGCAACCACCTGCGGTGATGGTAGCACCACCCCCCATCCCACCACGGGTCGTACAGGTACCAGTTACAGGGTGGCATTATGGCGGCCCGGGGTGGGGCCAAAATTTTAATTTTTAATATTTTATAATAGAATTTTTTTAAAGTTTAAAATAAAAGTATATTGTAAACATGTATTGTAGTTATAAATAATTTATTAGAATGATGCCCGTAATACTAAGTTAGAAATTCGCTACGTTTTAATCTATATTGCGTAAATTTCATTCTGCTATAATTCTCATTGTCAGTGTGAGTCTACATTATGCCAGAATGCTAAATTCATTTAAGAAGTAACGGAATCCATTAAGCTCACAATATTAGTCTTTACAACAGCTATGCCAGCATAGCAAAGGTCGATATGCTAATTATTTAAAAAATAATAATATAATGAGTACAGATTGTAGAAAGTTTTGGTACCAAGTTGAAAAAGTTATATTAAATTTGTTATTCACAATTTAATTGTCTACACGGCCGTAACGAGTGACTGACTAATGATACGAACCTCGTACATGTTGCTATAGTATAAACTTGACATACCCCCACCATGTCCTCCGCACCACCCTACACACCATGGTGTGATTATTCATACCTTGTGCAATAATTGATGACCACCAAATGTTTTAATTAGACTACCAATCATTGGCTAGCGTTCTTGCATTGGTTAATTCTTTCGAAGGGAGAATCTGTTCAGAAATATCTGTTCTATCGACCGTGAATGAGTGTTCCTACCACGGTCGTACATACAGGTCTTGCAACTCCCTTGGAGGGGGTAATCTTCTTTTAGAAGCATTTTCCATTTCGCTTCATGACCACAAGAGGCGTTGCGATCAAGCGATCCGTTCCTATTTCTCTCTCCCACAGCCAATTGTAAAGTGAGGTAGATAAGGGGTCGCTCGATCACAGCGACGCCTGTGACTAAAATTTAAAATGTGTCGTGCTTCAAATCCACGTCTACTCCCACCGCTGAAAATTGGGCGAGTTGCAAGACCTGTATGTAAGACCATGGTTCCTACACCCATATCCAGTCCATGCTGGACACTGCAATATTTTTTTTTAATTTTTTACAAAAACTAACGACCACCAAACATTTTAATTATGATATTCGTTACCACCAAACGATTACGCATCGATTGAGCACCTGAAAAATTTAATTCGTTGAAAAAAAAAATTTCGGCTAATTTCACGGTCAAATTTTGATTATTTGATTATAAAAGAATGACTGACCACCAAATGTTTTTATTAGGCCACCAATGACCACCAAACGACCACCAATCTATTTGGTATCATAACAAGTTAAAAAGTTAAAATGGCCCGGCTAACTTCACTGAGGTCTCTAGTCTCCATGCTACAGCCCACGGTCTTACATACAGATCTTGCAACTCGCCCAATTTTCAGCGGTGGGAGTAGACGTGGATTTGAAGCACGACACATTTTAAATTTTAGTCACA